TTTTAGAGAGAGACTGATAGAGGGAGAGTGGGAAAGCAAGCTGCCTGGTCTGGGACTTGAACCATGGTCATCCATGTGGTAATCCGGCGCTTTAGCTAGCATACCACCTGTCGGCCCCTTGATTTCTTTTTTAAAAGCTTCTTAAATAGATGGTTTCCTTGGACTTTCAGAGAGAATTCAGAGGATTCATTTGTCAGATTCTCCGCTCACTCTGCCATTAGCTGGGAATAATTCTTTTCCAACCTCATTAGTTTTCGCTGGCGCATACTGCTCTCTCTCGCTCCAAAGGTTGCCGTCTGAGAGATTTCCACGTGAAATCGTCAGTAATTCACGTGTGACCTTTAGGACAGTCCTGCTGGAGAAGGCCGAGAGCAGGCCGTGTGCATGCCCCACACCTGCGACGGTCAGTTAGGTGGGGCCCGGCGTCCTGGATGTGTAATTCTTCTCAGATCGTTTTTCTCCCTTTGTTTTTCTATTTATTGTTTTCAGTCCAGCCATATTTAAGTTTGGCTTTTGACTGGCCTTTGAGTGTCACAGATTTTCTTTTCTTTTCTCTTTTTTTCCCCTTGGCCATTTTAGTCCTAGTTCTTGAACCACCAGCAATAAGGTGGATTCGCCCATGGAGTCTGCCTGCGTGAGCCAGCCCAAAACAGAGGTCCCTTAAACTACGCCGATGTTCCTACCTTCGTGGCGCTCGCCTGGCTGCTGCTGCTGACCTTAAAGGCGACGTCTCTGAGCCAATTTGGCCTTCCTCTTCCGTGCTGGAACGACCTGTGCTGGGCTTTGGCCTGCTTTTCTGATTTTTGAAATTTATCTTGTTGGTCTCGAGTTGCTGTAGCTGTTCTGTGAGACGAGTCTGGGGCGATCCAGGTGTGTTCAGGCCGGAGGCGGCCTGGCAGGTGGCATTTATTCTAAGCGAGCAGTTACACCTCGGGGCTGCACCCCAGCCTGGCGCTGCCCAGCAGGTGCCCTGCACACGGACCACACTGGGAGGGGACCACAGGCGACAGCTTGAAGTAGGAGGAACTGTCATGCTCTCTAGATCTCCGGTGACACAAACCCACAAGAAAAGTTAGCACAAAGGACGGCGTAGGATCTTTGGAAAGCCACCACATCAATGAAATGTATTGCAAGTTTAGCACCTAATACTCAGTGGATGACACATCTGTATACTTATGAACATGCATCTCTGTATTTCTTTTTCTTTCTTTCTTTTTTTTTTTTTTTGGAGAGGTTTTTGCTATAGGGCGCGTGTGCTCGCCAGACAGAGAGAGACAGAGAGACAGAAAGCGAGAAATCACCCCCCGGGGGGCATGGCCACGCCGCAATCCCTTCTCCTCCATTCTCCTCTTGGGATCTTGGACACGCACGCACATGCTCCCGGCATGAGTTTAAGCCACCGGGACCGGGACTGAAACCGCGGTCGACTACGTGGGTGTCCAGCGACATAACCATTATGCTAACTGCTGGTCCCTGTATTTTTATTTTTCATGAGGGATTAGAGAGGGTTTGGGAATGGTATTCCATATAGCTCTTATTTTATTTCACTTTTTTTCAAGAAGGCACGTGTGATCACTGGAGGGAGACAGAAAGAGAGAGAGAAAGCACGCCCCGCTCCCGCGATGGGGCAAGGTCACACTGCAATCCCTTTTCCTGCATTTCTCCATCATGTTAGGATTTGAGGCATGCATGCACACATGTCCAGGGTGTTTTTCAAGCTGCCAGGGCTGGAATCCAAACCGTGTCGTCATCCATGTGGGATTTGGCTCCCATAACCACGAGGCCATAGGGCTGGACCTCCATATAAAAACACCGAAATCCTTTCTTCCCACAGGCCCCTGTGGAAGTGCAGCGATAAAAACGGTAGCAGAAAGGGAATGCTCTCAGTCATGGCTGGTAGCAAAGACCTAAGCCCCCCAAACCGGGCAAGTTTTGTTTCCCATGTTCATCAGTAAGAGGTTACTGGGCAGACGGGGTACAGACCCACAGAGTAGGATGCAATGAAGCCACTGGATGAAAGGGAGGCTTCAGATCTACCACTGCGGGACAGTCACCGAGAAACGTTACGTGACAAGACACGGGACAGAGCTGTGGGATAGTAGCTCCCACATTTTACATCACACATGTGCATGTCTGTGTGTATATGCATACGTGCATATTTTGGAAAGTTCTTGACAGAAGAAGTTTTTTTTAACCTCCTTTCTTTTTTGCCAGTGCATAGTGGTTTCTCTGGCTTCAAAGGTTACTGTCTGAGAAATCCCCACGTGGAGTCTGTCGGTAATTCCGATGTGATCTTTAAGACCTGCCTGAGAACACTGGGAGCGAGTCGCGTCCACGTCCCGTACCCGCCGCAGTCGGTCAGTCAGGTCCCAGCATCCCAGGTGATCGGCTTCTTCTCAGATCATTGTGCAAGAAGCCGTCAACTCTGCTTGCCGCTGGAAAGGACAACTAAGGCCCTGGGTACACAGGACACTGACTTCCCGACGCTTACTCCTGGGCATTGACTAGCTTATTGAATGAATGGAGTACCTTTCTTTTTCTTTTTTTTTTTAAGAAAGGCTTTTTGCTATAGGGCATGTGTACTCACCGAGAGACAGAGAGATAGCGAGAAATCGCGATGCCCACGCCGCAATCCCTTCTCCTCCATTCTCTCAGGATCTTGGGCACGCGCATGCTCCTGAAGTGAGTTTCAAGCCTCAGGGTCTGGACCTCGAACTGTGGTTGACTACGTGGGAGTCCAGCAACGCAAACATGATGCCATCTGCTGGTCTCAATGGGATATTTTTTAAATGCTGAGTGGGAATGAGTGCCCTGGTCTTCTTCCCCTTTGGAGTGTTTGGCTTCCTTCTCATGGGCATCAGAAAATTGGTATAGGGGCCAGCAGGTGCTGTGATGTTAAGGGCACTGGACTCCCACATGGCTGACCATGGTTCAAGTCCCAGACTTGGCGGCTTGCTTTCTCCCTCCCCCATTCACTCTCTCTCTGATCAAATTAAAATAAATACATAAAGTTAAATGAAATAATTCATAAGCAAACAAACAAAAACTGGTATAGTCGCCTGCACTTTGAGTCCTGAACCCAGTGGCTTGAAACCTATGCCAGGCATGTGTATGTGCATGCCCCAAACCCTGAGAGGTGAAGGGATTGCAGTGTGGCCATCCCCCAGGGGGGGATTTCTAGCTTTTTGTCTCTCTGTCTTTCTGGCAGACGCTCGTGTCCTATAGCAAAAAATCTAAAAAACAAAACAGTATAGTATCAGGAGCTAAAGCGATGAGCTGCGTTGGTCCCATGCAGGACTCTCTGAAAAAGACTATGCTGACGCCTCCTCCTGGCCACAGCTGAGTCCTGGGAGCTCCGTCACGGCTAGCTGGAAAGCCATGGAGGGTGGCGGAGGCGCGCTGAGGCCGAGCCTCAAGCAGGCTGCCATCGTACTCGCCCGCCCAGCTGCTGAGACAGTCACGGGAGAGGCCACGTGTCAAGGGCCTTGCAGCGCGGTGACGCGTACCCTGGTGGACAAGGCACACTCAGTGTCTAGGACCAGACACGTCAGCAGGGTGGCCGCACTCGGGGGGAGGGAGTGAGTGAGGAAGGAGGGAGGTGGCAAAGTGCGGAGGCCAGAAATTGGATTCTTCCCAGCAGCGCTGGTTCTGGCGGCCCAGAGCTGAGCATCTGGGGCAGCCCACCTGACAGTGCCAGCACACTGGCACACACCCCACCCCCACTCCCGACCGGCCAGGGCCTGCTTCAGATCACGTTGCTGTGTCCTCTTGTCCCCAGTCCAGCTCTAATTCTCTACCTGCCCTGCCTTCCGTCCCCCAGGAGAGACCTCAGATCCCCACTTCATCCCCTCTGAGATGTCTTTCCTTTCTTTCTTTCTTTTTTTTTAAAGATTTTTTGCCACTGAGCACATGCACTTGCCAAAGAGAGAGACAAAGACCCAGAGAGGGAAAGTGAGAAACCACCCCTAGGGAATAGGGCCGCAGCGCGACCCCTTCTCCTCTATTCTCCTCTCAGGATCTTGCACACCCACGCACTTGCACCCTGTGTGAGTTTCAAGCTGGCGGTCTGGGACTTGAACTGCAGTTGGCCATGTGGGAGTCCAGCACCTTAACCACTATTCCACCTGCTGGCCCCTGGGAGTCCCTTCTTGCACACCTCTCTGTCTGGTTTTCTCTTCTGGGTAGTAGGAGGCTACAGCAAGTCCTGGCTTCATACCTCCCAACTTTGAATCCCGCAGAAAGAGAGTCAGCCCTCTGTTCAGAAACCCAGGCAGGAATCCTGTTGCTTTTCATTGCCCCTGAGTGGGTCAAATATCTACCGGCACCAGTGAAGGAACCAACCCTGTGCCCAGGGGAATGTGATCTGCTGTGAGTGCCCTGCCACCAGGGGGAGACAGCTCCTACCATTGGGAACCCTGCCATCAACAAGGCTGAGGGAGGGCAGAGGGGACGATGTATAAAGAGGAGGCCAGTCCTGGGGACAGCACTTGAATCCCTGAACCAATTGTGCCTGACGTCAGCCCTACCCTGGTTTCCTGTCATGTGCACTTCTCTCTGTTTATTCTAGTTTAGGTCAGGGTTTGTATTGTCATTACTATTTTCAG